TTACAACTTAAGCCCTTCTGGCGCGGCTTTTGTCGAGTGGCCGTCCTTTGCCCAAGATCTGAATATTCATGAGCTGAAGTTGTCCCATTTCTCGCACACTAACCGGTAGCGCTTGATAGATGCACGGAAGAATAATATTTGAGGTTTGAATATAGTAGCATGCCTACACCACGAATGGAGTTCAACCGCATATTGTTATATCATGAAAATCATCCATATCTCAAAGTGGTCCAAAGTAATTTCAAAAGAAAAACAACAAGTATCTCAAAGTCGGTCGACCACACTTCATGGAACTATCAAAATATACATGTAACCGGTTTCGGCGCAAAGGCTTTGATAAGATACACAGAGAAAAACGTTTCTTTGCGTGAAACAATCTTATTTGTTTGACTTATATTTGTTTGCAAGAAATAAATGTTATTTGCGAGAAACAATTGTTATTTCTTCAAACCAAATCAAATTCTTTGTTTGAAATCATCGGTTCATTTGAATGACATTTGTTTGGGTGAAACAATAGCATTTGTTGAAAATATATTTATTTCGAAGAAATAAATGTTACTTGGAGCAAATAAATATTATTTTGAACAGAAATATCACATTGTTGGCGGAAAATAATTTTGATATAAATATGAACAATTGATATAGTTGTCATGCACAAACAAAAAATTTGTATTTAAAAAATGTAATTTGAACAGAGCGAGTGTGTCATTCATCTCGAATAAATGCGCTTATTGAAATTACATTATGGAATTGTTCTCTTGAATGACAGCACAATTTATAACAAAATAAAGTAATTTTTGGTCCAAATCAAATATTGCTTTGATTATATGCGCTTGCTTCTGTAGTGTAGTCGAATGTTCGCATGATTGGGAAAATGAGAATCCAGATCCAGAAAAAGTAAAAACAACTGACTTATTTTCTTCTACCAAAGTAAAATCGACGATGCCCATGACTGAAAAAATCACCAAACCAAAACTTAAAGTCTTAATTATTGTTCAGTTCGGTGGCGTGACTTGTTTCTATAATATCCAAAATCAGGGTTGCCAGATCTGACAACAAATTAGGCGCTTTTGTCTTTGGGTCGTCAATGGCTTTTTGACATGATTGATGTTTTATGGCTGGATCTCCTGCAAACCCAACATGAAGTTGTATCTTTAGTCTTTACTCGAGCTGAATACCTATTCTGGACATGATTGATACGCAATCTGAAGCAAAATTTTGAACCTGAAATGCTCGGTCATCAAGTATTTTTGAAAAACGGGTAAACGTCCAATCAGCAAACTTTAATTTTGGTCTTCGAATTATATTTCCCTCACCTTTGGACTCGCCTGGCACCTACTTCTCATCAAAACCGTCTTTCAATTCGTATCTTTTTTCTACAATGTCTAATTGACATCATAATATAATTCCAGGTTTACTGCGGCAAGTTAATTTTTCAAATCATTTTTACACTTGAAGAATTAAGGAGATGATGACATGCAAGGGTTAGACCTTCATCCTTTGATTCATCACTATAAAAATTCCTTGTCTTATACAGATAATATAAAAGGTTCACGAGCTCTCCGGCTCCATCTGGCAACCCTGTCTGAAACGTATACAACTACCAGACCCGCCATAACGCATTCGTTTTGTATCTCTGATGATGTGGTTCGCCGGGTCGTATCGTACAGTGGTGATTTAGTATAGTTAATTCCACAGCATATTTACAGATTTTCACTATTCTCTTAATGTGTAGTGATGGATTTTTCAGAAGAATGGCATTTGGGTCATCTGGTCCCAATTTTCAGAGGTAAGGAATTGTAATTCATACTTGAAAATCGGAATAATGGCGTGAAATTTTTTATGATTTGTTGATTATCTGATGTTTTCATACCGATCTCCATCAAAAAGACAGGTAGGTCATAGAAGGATGTACGAATAGGTAGGTAGGTATCTGTGTGATATTTCGTAGATAAGTATACTTTCTAATCTGCTGTATATTGAAATATTCCAGTGAAATGGCGTTAAAATTCTTCTATGATTTTCAATGGAAGATTTCATGCAGTCAAATAAATATTTCTTTGATTCAAATGTCACCAGATTCACTTGAAACAAAATATTTGTTTCCATGAAACAAATGATAATTAGTATGTTAAATGTTTTGATTCTATGTTAGCATCTTCGGGAGAATATTAAAACTCAGGAATCACCCCTTGAATTTTTTCGGTGTTATTTATATACCCTGTATAAGTATTTTGAGATATCATGTAACTATATAGATAACATAATCACTAGAACAAAAATTATCACAGCTCTTTTCTTCATATGAAAAATTGTCATCAATGCACTTCAATGTTATGAAATTTTTATTTCCTTGTTATGCATATATTTCATCTATTCCCGCATTAAAATATACTAAACTTTCAGGAGAGCAATAAGAAATCTGCTACGTCTGTCATTGATGTGAATACTCCAGTGATTTCCGAAAACATTTTTATTGATGCTGATGCACCGGATGATAGAGCCGATGATCCACCTGCCAAATATTTGAGGTTGGATACAAATAACAGCGACCAACCTGCTTCAGGATCATCATGTATCTTGACTTCTGTAGTATCGAACCCAAACAGTGTGTCTGTCACATTTTTTCTATTATTCAATAAAGTTTGTTATAGTTCAATTTTGTTGTTAATTCTCAATTCCTTCCAAGAGGAGTATTGTTTTCAAAGAAATGAATTTCTTCTTAGGAAGATTCTATTTCTTTGAGTTTATTATTTTTGATTTCGTTCAAATCTACAATTTATTTCTGGTAAGGGAATCCATTATTTGAACTTGTTTCTTCCAAACAATTTCCTTGTTTTTCTCAAGCATTGACATCTTTGAATCAAATTACATTTACATATATTTATTTTTCACAAATAATCATTTGTTTCTTCCAAAGAATGTTCTTGTTTCTGTCAAGCTCTGATTTCTTTGAAACAAATAATTATTTATTTCTTCCAAATAATTTCCTTGTTTCCCTCAAGCTTTCATTTCTTTGATGCAAATTATACTTATTCACTATGAATAATTCTGATCATGAATCCAAAGAAATAGTTTTGATTCAAACAAATATACACTTTCTTCCAAATTATGAATCATATCATTTTCAATAAATTATATAGGTCCAAAAAAATCACTTATTTGAAAAATCAAAGGAATGGAAACTTTGATTCAACCAAGCTTGTTTGTTGGACCTATTCAAACTTCGGATTTCTTTGAATTTAACAATATTTGTTAAATTCAAAGAATTGTTTTTCTCTGTGTAGAACATCTTATCTTGAAAGGTTTTTTATGAAACCAGTTTCTTCCTAAAACTTTTATTCTTCTAATTCTCCTTCTTCTTTTTCCGTTCTCATCTTCTTCTTTCTCTTTTTATACTTTGTTCTTTCTTCTGAATAAAAATTTCGTTTATTTCCTGGTGTCACTTACCACTGTTCTATCGTGTCATTACGGTCATTTCGGTTCTGTCATTCAATTCTTATTGTTTTGTGTTCAAGTGTCAAAGTCTTGCTCATCTTTCAATTTGTCTTCAATTTTCCATTTCCTTGTTTCATCGCTCACTGATCACTGATATGGCTTCCTTAATTATATTATGTAGTTCATGAAAAACCTTTCAAGATAAGATGTTCAATCTTATCAGAGCCAGTTTTTTCTGGCTCTTTACTGAATATAAAAATAACCACATGTTCTAGTGGTGCCCGCGAGAGTCTCGTTTTCGAGAGTCTCGCATGGTCTCGTCTCGTTTTCGAGACAAGACTCGAGACGTGACTCAGACAAGACGAGACGACACTCTTATTGGTCTCGTGTCGAGTCTCGTGCAAGGATTCTCGTGTCTTGTGCGAGAGTCTCGCAGGTAGATATTTCTGCGTGGCGACTGCTGACTTGAGAATTTCATTCATAATACAACATATTCAGAAGGATCCAGACTATTTAGCAAAGATAGACAAAACATTTCATTCATTAATACTTTAAAAACACAAGCCATGATTGTTGTAAAACGAAGTAATGCGTGAAACGAAAACGGACTATTCTCTCTCTAACGGCGGAATAATGTTGGATTGAAGTGTTTGTTTTGTTTATTTGTTCAGTATATACGTGTTACTTTCTATTTGATTTTTATAACTTTCGAATATATAATGCTGTTTTTTTGTTTAGATGTATGATGTAAGTATGTACCTATTATGTACTTACTTTTCAATGAATAATGTTATTTTTGTTGTAATTTTCTCTTCCCACTTCTACATTATACCTGAAGAATAAGTGAAGGTAAATATCCCGTACTAGACTGGAACAAGATTATGCATGACGTAATTGCGATACATTTGCGGAACTCTCGTACGAGACGCGAGACAAGACGAGACTCGGGGCTGCGAGAAGAGACTCGAGACAAGACTTCATATTTCATCGGCGAGACCAGAAGAGACTTTCAAAGTCTCGTCTCGTTGGTCTCGTGTGAATCACTAACATGTGCCTGACTCTGATAGCCTGTTGACGACTTGAGTTGCCCTCATGTTTGATTTTCCATAATGCTACCTATTTGCTTTATGCTTTGGTATGTTTTTGAGAATTTTTCACTTCTCTCTATTTGTATTGCCATATTTCATCCTTTCACAGGAACTTTTTTGTCTGATGATGGCCGTGGCGCCGAAACCGGTTACATGTATGTTTTGATGGTTTAATAAAGTGTAGTCGACCGACTTCGAGATACTTGTTGTTTTTCTTCTGCATATTGTTATCTCTACCTCGAAGTTATCTCGAAGATATTTTGCAGAATAATGTTTTCAAAAATAAATTATATTTGATACAACTATTTATTTCAGATAGTCAAAACAGATGGGGAGCATCTGTTCTCAGCCACAACCCGTTTCGGCCACATTTCGTCTTAGCCACATCTCGTTTCAGCCACATCCCGTCTCAGCCGCATTTCGTCTGGCCCACATAATTCGAACATACTCGAATACTGCGCTGTTGCCACATACTTTCCCAATTCCCAATTCAACAGAATCGAATAAATCAAGCATATTCCTCTCAGCCACATCTTGTCTCAGCCTCATTTCGTCTCAGCCACATTTCGTGTCAATTTCGTCCTAGCCACATTTCTTCTCATACTATCTCATCGAGCGTGAAGCATATTTCTCTCAGCCACATCTTGCCTCAGCCACATTTCGTCTCAGGTACATTTCGTCTAAGCCACATTGCTTGTCTATTTTGTCCTAGCCACATTTCGTCTCAGACACATCTTCTTTCACCCTCATTTCATTTCGGCCTTGTTTCGTCTCAGCCACATTTCGTCTCAGCCACATAAGAGTAAAATTGCACTCATCATGCGATAGTTTTTTTTTTCGGAAATTTTTGTGGTACCTAATCACATATTTTTGTCTTAAAAACACGAATTTTATAATAAAAATATAAAAAAACCTCCATTTATCGAGATTTTAATTTCAGTAAAAGTACATTATTTGTGATAAATAAGTCACACAATCCAAATATCATAGTCGAATTCATTTTTCTCTATTAGCGTAAAAGATTCAGGTGTTTATTAACTGAAAGAATCAAGTTCTACGCCCATGGAATGATATTCATCATGATCATGATATGGGTTTCATAACCCATTGGAGGTATGCTACCTTGAAAAATATGAGTAAAATCTCATGAGGCGTTTCAAAGTTATGAAGCGGAATCGATTAGAAAATTGTAACTTTAGATCTGTCTAGCGCCCAAACTTTGTTCAAAGGTGACTTTGCTCATATTGAAATGTTTTGGTCTGAGGAATATGTGGTGAGTTTCTGTAGAGGCCTTTTAACGACACCTTGTATAGGAAAGTGGAAGATCACCCACTTTTCTACGGTGTTCTCATTAGGTCGAAGTATTTGTGAGTGTGGCATCACCAACTAGGTAGTTGATTCTTCTCTGACTGGAATTTAAGAGAATCAGCGTATTCTTGAGTGCTGAACCCCATATGTGAGAACAGTATTCTGAAACATGCCGTATCTGTGCTTTGTGGCAGTCCCGTCATTCAAAACCATTTTATCGCCAGATGGCTTACTTCACAATTCACAATTCATCATTCATACAGGGATACTTATTTTGACGCGCCTATTCAGAACATGGGTTCATGCGGATTGTGGAAATTCATTTCGATTCTCATTGTTACTCCTCTCTGCCTATTATGTTCCTACAATGGCGTCATTTCAGTATGAAATTCACTGTTCGTTTTGTTGTGTGATAATTTATTGAAATAACAAGGTCGTGAAGAAGATCCCATGGTGATATTTCAGTATTAGTACTTTGTAACAATCAAGAGATGTTCAAACTTCTGTTTCAAATAATACGTAGATCATAACAAAGGATAATTCACCAAACAGAGTTCTGTACAAATATGTTTGATTCCAAGTTCTATTCGATATATTATCAACAGTAAGAACACAATAGTTTTTTTTTCATCGGATAAATTTTTTCTGGTAACGAAAAACATTTGTCGATCAGTAATTTTACGAGAAAAACTGACATGAAAACATTTTGTCTAATGTCAGTTTTTCGACAAATAACTGATGGAAAATGTTTGAGTTAGAAAGGTATTTACTCAATAACTTCAGATTGTGTTCTGAAAGCGAAGGTTCATGAATTATGATGAAAATTTTTGAATAAAACATCCAATAATTTTCCAGATGAGATTTGTCGTTATCTGGTCCACAAAACCATGTCTCATTTTTGCCCAATTGCGACTCCCCGAGTGATTTAGAAATATTTTTGAAAAACATATTACACAAAGATGTTGATTTCAATATGCCTGCTGATTTTCGGTATCGATATTTCTATCCCAAATCATGCAATTACTTCTAACTACCGATTCGATAAAGTCCTTATCGACATTTGCCTTACATGGTGTTTGAAAATATGTTCAGAAAGGAGGGCATCATGAATTATGATTAGGACTCGATAATAAATTGTCTGTTACCGTAACAATATCCTGGTAAATATAGACACAACCAGATTCAAATCGTTGCTGATATAATTGCAGATTGTGAACATAATGAAATTCTGGCTATGGTATAACAATAATAAAATGGTTAGTATCACAAGATATCTGGTTGTGCCCTTTCACTAACCAGACGATTTTTTTCCGTGAATAGCATCGTTGCCAAGTTGATTGGAATCATTTAGAGAAATTTAAATACACATAGATTTTGATTCCAATATGTCAATACTGACTATCGCTTTGACATAGTTGTGTGGACAAGATAACGACGAATAGAAATATCTGAAAAATACTGGTCTTTAATGAATCGAATTTCATGCAGCACCGCCATCAAAAAATATTCTGTAGACATCAAAGTATTTTTGATCCGTAGACTATATTTCACTATATCCCCAACAATGTTCTGTCTATCTCTCATCGCTATTGAGCTATAGAACTTTTCCATATTACATGGACAGCCGGTATATAAACGAGTTTAACCGCATATCGTTATCTCTACCTCGAAGATATCTCGGAAATATTTTGCAAAATAATTCTTTCAAAAATAAATTATATTATATACAACTATTTATTTCAGAGAGTGAAAACATCCCTTCTCAGCCACATATTGTCTGGCCCACAGAATTCAAACATACTCAAATGATGCGCTGTTGCCACATATACCATATAAATTTACAATTCAATAGAGCTAAATGAATTAAACATATCTCTCAGTCACATCTTGCCTCAGCGAGATTTCATCTCAGCCATATTTCGTGCCCATTTCGTCCTAGCCTCATTTCTTCTTGGCCACTTTTCGTCTCAGCCACATGAGGGTAAAATTTCATTTATCATGCGATGTTTTTTCATCGAGAATTTTATTGGTACTCACGTATTCTCGTTTAAAAAACATGAATTTGACAATGAAAATATGAACAAACCACTATTTATCGAGATATTAACTATTTGAATTGAAATTTTGTCGAAACCATGAGAATGATCGAATTTCAGTAAAAGTACATTATTTGTGGTAAATGTTACTGGATCCAAATTTTTTATTCGAATTCCTTTTAGCTGTGTGGGCGAGATAACGACGAATAAAAATATCTGAAAAATTCTGGTCACGAATGATTCGAATTGAATGCAGCACCGCCTTCGAAAAATATTCTGTAGACTTCATAGTATTTTTGATTCGTTGACTATATTTCACAATATCCCCAACAATGTTCTGTTTATCTTTCATCGCAATTGAGCTATAGAACTTCTCCATACTACATGGACAGCCGGTATATAAACGAGTTCAACCGAAGATATCTCGGAGATATTTTGCAAAATATTTCTTCCAAAAATATATTATATTAGATACAACTATCTATTTCAGAGAGTGAAAACATCCCTTCTCAGCCACAACCCGTTCCAGCCACATATCGTCTGGCCCACAGAATCCGAACATAATCAAATGATGCGCTGTTGCCACATATACTATCCCAATTTCCAATTTAATGAAATTGAATGAATTGAACATATCTCTTAGTGACATCTCGCCTCAGCGACATTTCGTCTCAGCCATTTTTCGTGCCCATTTCGTCCTAGCCACATTTCGTCTCGGCCACATTTCGTCTCAGCCACATAATCCTTACGCTCTGTACCCTCACAATTGTACGGGCATTATCTGAGTGATTTATAAGTATCAAAATACCCTTCTGCTGGATGGAAAACCAGCCACTATGCTTGTGAGTGTTCTATTTGCACGGAACAAACCGCATTTGCTGCTTATTTTATTCTCAGGCGGCGTAAAAAAAATGAATCATTGTGTGGTGCAATTGGTCCCGACTGAAAAATGTTTCCTGAAGGTGAGTAAATCAAAAACATCAACTATATATGATATTGTGAATGATTCTATGCATTGAATTACAAATAAAAACATGATTCAACATGGTGGTTCACAGTGGCTGTTTCAAAATTTTTTTTCGGGATCAGATTTCAGGACATACTTGTATACCATCACATTTGTGTGCTCCGGAAGCGTACCGCTACGGATCAATGGCCATTATCGATTTTGATTTAATCATTCCAGTGTGTCAAAACTGTCCTTCATTCCAAGAAATCTGAATTGCAAGAAGATCAAGATGAAATTTGAATTTGTTGGATCAGATAGGATTGAATCTGGAAAACGACTTCGATGAAGATGACCAGTGGGAGTTGAATGAAAATGAACAGGTAGAAGTGCCAGAGGAATATTTGTTGGGTAGGTGGATGAAAATGCCTATAAACCATACGTTCTTCTTGCAAATAGAGAAGATTTCATGTCAACAAATGACAAACGATATTATGGAATCAACCACTGGCCTGTCATTGATTCTCCGAAATCACCACGGACTTGCAGACTGGAAATTTGCGGTAGCCGTTGAAGGACGAGATGTTAAAAATGCAATGTACGCCTATGCCTGTGCTTGAACAATGGAAGTAATTGTTTCGTCACTTTTCATAACAAACTATGAACAATAAATGATCGAATAAATGCATATTCCTCCATGTTTAGCGTTTACTTCATTCTGAGTTGAAATCCCATTTCACTCCCAAATAACACGATTATGAGGGTCCTGAAAATAATATTACATCTTCCTGAAAAAAAAATCAGGAAGTTTCTGAGGTTACTCTGAGTCACGCCTGCCAGAAAAGTTCCAGCTATACTATCCAAATTATTCTCGGGAGTGTAAGGAATAAGGGAAAAATTCCAGAAAATTTCCTTGGTTCTCACGTATTTTCGTTTGAAAAACATGAATTTGTCAATGAAAATATAAACAAACCACTATTCATCGAGATATTAAATATTTGAATTGAAACTTTGTCGAAACCATGAGAATGATCGAATTTCAGTAATAGTACATTATTTGTAGTGAATGAGTTACTGGATCCAATTTTTTTATTCGAATTCCTTTCAGTTGTGTGGGCAAGATAACGACGAATAGAAATATCTGAAAAATACTGATCACGAATAAATCGAATTTTATGCAGCACCGCCTTCAAAAAACATTCTGTAGCCATCAAAGTATTCTCGATTCGTAGACTTTACTATATTTCCTATATCCCCAA